TTTTTTTGAGACAGAGTCTCACTCTGATGCCCAAGCTGAAATGTAGTGGCACGATCTTGGCTCACTGTAACCTCCACTTCCTGGGTTCAAGCGATTCATCTGCCTCAGCCTCCCGAGTAGCTGGGATTACAGGCACTCACCACCACATCTGGCTAATTTTTATATTTTTAGTAGAGACGTATTTCACCATGTTGGCCAGGCTGGTTTCGAACTCCTGATCTCAGGTGATCCCACCCGCTTGGGCCTCCCAAAGTGCTAGAATTACAGGTGTGAGCCACTGTGCCCAGCCCGGAATAAACTTTCTAAGATAGTTTTTCAAGAAAGGCAAATGTAAAACAAAAATTTAAAAACTAGGTCAGGTGCAGTTGTTCATACCTGTAATCCCAGTACTTTGGGATGCTGAGTTGGGTGGATCACCTGAGGTCAGGAGTTCGAGACCAGCCTGACCAACATGAAGAAATCCCGTCTCTACTAGAAATACAATAACTGGGCGTGGTGACACATGCCTGTAATCCCAGCTACTCAGGAGGCCAAGGCAGGAGAATTGCTTGAATCTGGGAGGTGGAGGTTGTGGTGAGCCGAGATTGCACCATTGCATGCCAGCCTGGGCCACAAGAGCGAAACTCTGTCTCGGAAAAAAAATTTTTAAAAACTCAAACCATAGCAACCTCAGGAGCCTACCCCATTGCAAACACCATAACAGGCAGCTGGTGAGGGGAGCAGGCTTGTGTGTTGAATCTTCAGGAAAGGGCCCGTCTTGTTTTCCAGCCTTGCTTGGTGGGCCACCAGGCTTACTTTCATGTTCTTTTGGGCAAGTAATGCTTTAAACAATTTTTTTATATTGAATTTTCCTTACACTTTTCTGGTGATCGTTACAATGGGGGTGAGGTTTTTGTTTTCTCCAATTTCCAATTTCCAGGCTGATGCAGTTTGTCTTGATATCTGGTTTTGTTTTGTTTTGTTTTTATGCGGGTATCAGTCCTGTTGCCCAGACTGGAGTGCAGTGGTGTGATCACTGCTCACTGTAGCCTTGACCTCCTGGGTTCAAGCAATCCTCCCACTGCAGCCCCCAAAGTAACTGAGGCATACAGGCATGCACCACCATACCGGCCAATTTTTTGTATTTTTAGTAGAAATGGGGTCTCACCATGTTACTCAGACTGTTTTCAAACTCATGGGCTCAAGTGATACTCCTGCCTTGGCCTTCCGGAGTGCTGGGATTACAGGCATGAGCCACAACACCTAAAGACTTTTCTATATTACTATTATCTTTGTTATGTCAAGACTATTATTTATTTATTTTTTTGAGACAAAGTCTCACTCTGTTGTCCAGGCTGGAGTGCAGTGGCATGATCTCAGCTTACTGCAACCTCTGCCTCCCGGGTTCAAGTGATTCTCCTGCCTCAGCCTCCCTAGTAGCTGAGCTTACAGGCACATGCTACCACTCCTGGCTAATTTTTGTATTTTTAGTAGAGATGGGGTTTTACCGTGTTGGGCCAGGCTGATCTCGAATTCTTGATCTCAGGTGATCCGCCTGCCTGCCTTGGTCTCCCAAAGTGCTGGCATTACAGGCATGAGCCATTGCACCTGGCCAAGACTTTAAATTGATGTGAAAATCATGCATTTCACAGTATTGAAAAAAAAAAATCTGAAAAATACAAGTGCTGAGTTTTTATGATTGTAGAACAATTTTTTTTTTTTTTTTTTTTTTNAAGTGATACAATCTTGGCTTATTGCAACCTCTGTCCTCCAGGTTCAAGTGATTCTTCTGCCTCAGCCTCCTGAGTAGCTGGGATTACAGGCACGCACCACCATGTCTGGCTAATTTTTGTATTTTTAGTAGAGATGGGGTTTCGCCATGTTGGCCAGGCTGGTCTCAAACTCCTGACCTCAGGTGATCCACCTGCCTCAGCCTCCCAAAGTGCTAGGATTACAAGCGTGAGCCACTGTGCCCAACCAGCAATTTCTTATTTTTATTTTATTTGTTTATTTATTTATTTATTTATTGAGATGGAGTTTCACTTTTGTTGGCCTGGCTGGAGTGCAATAGCATGATCTTGGCTTACTACAACCTCCACCTCCCAGGCTCAAGCAATTCTCCTGCTTCAGCCCCCCGAATAGTTGGGATTACAGGTGCCTGCCACCACACCTAATTCTTTGTATTTTTAGTAGAGATGGGGTTTCACCCTGTTGGCCAGGCTTGTCTCAAACTCTTGACCTCAGGTGATCCACCCACCTTGGCCTACCAAAGTGCTGGTATTATAGGCGTGAGCCACCATGCCTGGCCTTATTTTTTATTTTTTTGAGACAGGGTTTCACTCTCGTCCACACTGGAATGCAGTGGCTCGATCTCAGCTCATTTGCAGCCTTGACCTTCTTGGTTGAAGTGATTCTCCCACCCCAACCTGGGAGAATAGCTGGGATTACAGGCATGTGCCATCATGCCTGGCTAATTTTTGTAGCTTTTGTAGAGATGGGGTTTTGCTATGTTGCCCAGGCTGGTCTCAAACTCCTGAGCTCAAGCAATCTGTCAGCCTTAACTTCCCAAAGTGCTGGTATTACAGATGTTAGCTGCCATGCCAGGCCATAAAGCAATTTTTAAATAGTAACTTATTAAATATAGTATTATGTGTAGTACTTATTTAATATAGTGCAACTTATTTTAAACTATTTATAGGCTGGGTGCAGAGGCTCATGCCTGTAATCCCAGCACTTTGGGAGGCTGAGGCAGGAGGATTACTTGAGGTCAGGAGTTCGAGACCAGCCTGGCCAACATAATGAAAACTTGTCTCTACTAAAAATGCAGAATTAGCCCGGCATGGTGGTGTGCACATGTATTCCCAGCTACTTTTGAGGCTGAGGTGGGAGGATCGCTTGAGCCTGGGAGTTCAAGGCTGTAGTTAGCTATGGTCATGCCACTGCACCCCAGCCTGTATGACAGAGTAAGATCCCATCTCAAAAAAAACAAAAACAAAGAAAACTATTTATGTGCTTGTGTCTGCTTTATTTTTAAAGGTCTAACTCATCTTATTACTATGGATTTACACCAGAAGGAAATTCAGGGCTTCTTCAACATTCCTGTTGATAATTTAAGAGCATCTCCCTTCTTATTACAGTATATTCAAGAAGAGGTGAGCTAGCTCAAACTTTTTTATTTCAATATTCTGATTAAGGTTGAAAGATGTATTTCCATTTCCTTAGGGTATCCCTAAAGGATTAAAACTTGATGTATTCTACTTAAAGTACCATTATACTTTATAGATATAGTTCTATGTATTTTAGAATTCTGAATCTGCAATTTGTTTCTTTAGTTAACTCTTAAAATTGCTTTTTCTGTTGGACCTCAAGTACCTAGAATTGGACTATATGATTGTAATGAGTAATTTACCCTCATTACTAGTCTATTCTTGGTCCTGGTCCTGTTTTACATATCCATCTATCCATCCTGTCTCTCTGTCCATCCAGTTATGACAGTCAGCATCCATGATCCCACCTCCCAGTAAGAAAACTAGAATCATGATAATGACTTAGAGCTGCTCATGGGCTCCTTCCCTGCCCTATCCTCTGCCTCCTTCCACCCTAGGGAACCACTGCCCTCAAACAACGTTGAATTTGTCAAATGCTTTTTCTGTATCAGTGGAGATGATCATGTTGTTTTTCCTTCATTCTATTAATGTGGTTTATTACATTGATTTTTCTCATGTTGAACCACCTTTGCATCCTGGGATAAATCAGACATTTAATTCTAATATAGTCACGTTTGTTTTTCTTTGATATGAGTTAGCACTTTTGTGATTTACTATTTAAGAAGACTTTTAAATTTTAAATTTATATTGTACTTAGCTATTTTGCTGTTAGCCGTTTTTCTTATATAAATTATTTCTCTCTTTAATAAATTTTCTAGAGAACTTTTTGCAGTGCTATATTTAAAAGATGGCAGTTTATAGATTTCTGAGGAACTTCTTTCTGGTAAGAATACAGGGCTTCCTCATTCTCCAACAACTGAAATAAGCCCTTATAGAGAAAATGAATTTAAGTATTTTCGAAAGAGAAAAATGTAAAATATTCTGCTTTTTTTTCTTTAAAGTTATACACAGGAAACATAAAAACTCTAGGCTGGAAGCAGTGGCTGACACCTATAATCCCAGCACTTTGGGAGGCTGAGGCGGGTGGATCACTTGAGGTCAGGCGTTCAGACCAGCCTGACCAACATGGTGAAACCCTGTCTCTACTAAAAATACAAACTTAGCCAGGTGTGGTGGCACGCACCAGTAATCCCAGTTACTTTGGAGGCTGAGGCAGGAGAATTGCTTGAACCCGGGAGGTGGAGGTTGCAGGGAGCCAGGATTGTGCCACTGCACTCCTGCCCGGGTGACAGAGCAAGACTCTGTCTCAAAAAAAACAAAATAGAAAACACAAATAGTCTAATAAATTCAGAAAATAATACAGACTTTAATTTTACCCGCAAAATTTTTCGTTGTTTTGAGACAGGTTCTTTCTCTGTCACCCAGACCAGAGTGCTGTGGTGCCATCATAACTCACTGAAACCTTGAACTCCTGGGCTCAAGAGATTTCTCCCACCTTAGCATCCTGAGTAGCTGAGACTAGAGGTGTGCCACCATACCTAGCTAATTTTTAAAAAATATTTCTAGAGTTACAGTCTTCCTATGTTGCCCAAGCTGGTCTCAAACTCCTGACCTCAAGCGTTCCTCCCACTTTGGCCTCCCAAAGCAGTGTGATTACAGGTGTGAGCCACCGTGCCTGGCCTAATTTTACCTGAATATTATTCTCAGTTGAGAGAGAAGGTGAGATAAAATTGGCAACTGTCTTGGTAAGGAAGGATGAAGAGGTTTAGGCAGAGAGAGGGTGAGAAGGTGAGCCTTGAATGTTGTTCGGTTACCAACTGACAACATGGAGAAACCTGTCATTTTAGAAGAAACAGAGTAGTCACTATAGACTTATATGGGTTGCTGTCCACATCTTGTGGTTTTAAGGGACGTTTCCACTCAAGATAAAGGCATGTTGTGTGCCAGTGTCTCAAGGCACAAATGATGATAGCACCTCTTGAGGGATGCCCTGTGGGTGATCCTAAAGAACGAAGGCTGGGGTACCCTCAGGCTGGTTGCAAGAGCAGGCTGGAAGCCTAACCCTTGTCATTGCCTATAGTACTGGCTTCTACCTCAGGATGACACTGCCTTCTACCTGAAAAAAAATACTCATTTCAGGTTCATTGTTGAGAAGAAGTCAAGGCTGGATGTGGTGACCCACACCTATAATCCCAGCACTTTGAGAGACCGAGGAGGTTGGATTAGTTGAGTCCAGGAGTTCAAGACCATCCTCAGCAAGATGGTAAAACACTGTTTCTACAAAGAATGCAAAAGTTAGCCAGGTGTGGTGGTGCATGCCTGTAGTCCCAGCTACTAGGGAGGCTGAGAAGAGGATTGCTTGAGCCTGGGAGATTGAGGCTTCCCAGGAGGTCGAGGCTGCAGTGAGCCATGATCTGAGCAACAGAGTGAGACCTTGTCTCAAAAAAAAAAAAAAAAAAAAGTCAGGATTGGCCTCTCTGTCAACATTTATGAATCAGCAAACTAGGGAAATGGTTTTATTTTTGATATTGAGCTAACAGTGATGACATTTTAATGATAACATTTTAGTTTTAAAATTTTCTGTCTTTCAGAAAAAAATTATTTAAACTACAAAAATGAAATACTAGACTGAGCATGGTGGCTCATGCCTGTAATTCCAGTACTTTGGGAGGCCGAGGCAGGCAGATCACAACGTCAGGAGTTTGAGATCAGCATGGCCAACATGGTGAAACCCTGACTCTACTGAAAATAGAAAATTAGCTGGGCGTGGTGGTCTGTGCCTGTAATGCCAGCTACTCGGGCGGCCGAAACAGGAGAATCACTTATATTTGGAAGGTGGAGGTTGCAGTGAGATGAGAGTGAGCCATTGCACTCAAGCCTGGGCAACATGGCGAGACTCCATCTCAAAAAATAAAATAAAATAAATACTCTATGGGAACTTAGTGTTAAAAAGGAATTTTTGTTGTATTTGCCCTTTTTTTAGAGACAGAGTCTCACTCTGTCGCCCAGGCTGGAGTGCAGTGGTGTGATTTTGGCTTACTATAACCTCTGCCTCTTGAGTCCAAGCAAGCATGCCTGGCTAATTTTTGTATTTTTAGTAGAGGTGGGGTTTCACCTTGTTGGCCAGGCGAGTCTTGAACTTCTGAACTCCACTGATCTGCTTGCCTCAGCCTCCCAAAGTGCTGGGATTTCAGACGTGAGCTACCACTCCTGGCCTGTATTGCCTTTTTATAGTATGTGTATCTTGTCTCTTTTATTTCCTTGTGTTAGAGCTTCTTAAAGTAGCAGGGTAGATACTCATGTTTCACTCAATCTGAGGTTCTGTCAGTCCAGCCTTACATTCTTTTATGTCACCAAGAAAGAAGAAAACACTGCTAATTATACTGTGGCACTGTGCCTTCTTGTCACGTAGTGATCATATTCTGCAGGTTTTGATGCTGACACTTTCCTCTCTGATAACTCTTACTTTCTGTATCTCTTGTGTTTGTCACTGGAATTTAAGCACCTTCTGCCAGACTCAGAAAATTCTAGTATTAGGATGCTTGTTGCCTTGAAACTTTTGCCATCTATTCTGAAAGCATCTGGCAGTGTCTGTTGCCTTCTACTGCATTGCTGGGCATGTGTCAGGCAGTCCTCTTCCGGTTCAGTCCTTTTCACAGTTTCACCTACTGGTAGGGATCTTCCTTTCCTAAGTTTCTTTTTTTTTTTTTGAGACGGAGTTTCACTCTTGTTACCCAGGCTGGAGTGCAATGGCGCGATCTCGGCTCACCGCAACCTCCGCCTCCTGGGTTCAGGCAATTCTCCTGCCTCAGCCTCCTGAGTAGCTGGGATTACAGGCACGCACCACCATGCCCAAATTTTTTGTATTTTTAGTAGAGACGGGGTTTCACCATGTTGACCAGGATGGTCTCGATCTCTTGACCTCGTGATCAACCCACCTCGGCCTCCCAAAGTGCTGGGATTACAGGCTTGAGCCACCACGCCCGGCCTCCTTTCCTAAGTTTCATGCAGCATTTGATTGTTGTCTTGCAAGAAAATGTAGAATTGTATCATTTTTCCAGTGATGAATATTTGATTTGTGAATATCAAATTACACCCTAATGGTCTCTTCCTGTGTCTGTCTGCATACACGATAATTTTTCTTTTTTTTTTTTTTGACACGGAATTTTGCTCTTGTTGCGCAGGCTGTAGTGCAATGGTGCAATCTCAGTTTACCGCTACCCGTGCCTCTCGGATTCACGTGATTCTCCTGCCTCAGCCTCCCAAGTAGCTGGAATTATGGGCATGTGCCAACCATACCTGGCTAATTTTTTGTGTTTTTTTTTTAGTAGAGATGGAGTTTCCCCATGTTGGTCAGGCTGATCTCGAACTCCCGACCTCAGGTGATCCATCTGCCTCGGCACCTCCCAAAGTGCTGGGATTACAGGCACGAGGCATTGTGCCCAGCCAGTTTTTCATTTTAATGAAAAGAATCATAGTGATTCTTTCTGGAGACATTATTATTATTATTTTTTTTTTTTATTGTATTTTGGACTCTGGGGTTACATGCATGTGCACATCCTGCATCCTGCAGGATTGCTGCATAAGTACATACATGCCACATTTCCCCCTCCCCACCAACCCCATTGCCTATATCAGGCATTTCTCCCGGTGTTATCCCTCCCCATTCGCCCTACCCCCCAACCCCGCTGTCCCTCCCCTCTCCTCCCCTCCCCTCTACCTCCCCACCTAACCCAGTGAGTGTTGTTCCTTCCCTGTGCCCAAGTGTTCTCATTGTTCATCACCTGCCTATGAGTGAAAACATGAGGTGTTTGGTTTTCTGTTCTTGTGTCAGTTTGCTGAGAATGATGGTTTCTAGATTCATCCATGTCTCCACAAAGGACACGAACTCATCATTTTTTATGGCTGCATAGTATTCCATGGTGAATATGTGCCACATTTTCTTTGTCCAGTCTATCATTGATGGGCATTTGGGTTGATTCCAGGTCTTTGCTATTGTAAACAGTGCTGCAGTGAACGTATGTGTACGTGTGTCTTTATAATAGAACGATTTATAATCCTTTGGGTATATACCCAGTAATGGGATTGCTGGGTCAAATGGAATTTCTATTTCTAGATCCTTGAGGAATTGCCACACTGTCTTCCATAATGGTTGAACTAATTTAAACCCCCACCAGTGTAAAGTATTCCTTTTTCTCCACATCTTCTCCAGCATCTGTTGTCTTCTGGAGACATTTTAAATGGCAGTTAAACTCAGCCTGAATAGAACAAGTGGTGCCTCTGCCTCACTTGAAGTGAGGCCCATAGGAGTGCTGTGGCCTCTGTGCATGTGAAGGAAAGAAAAAGCACATCTCGGCTGCTGTGGGACACTGCCCGATGTGAGACATCTCAGTTTTGGGGATATTAATATAGGACAAAAAGTGGTTTCATAATGATTAAATATAGTGCATGTTTTTTACTTTTTACATTTATTGTTTTCATTTTTGCTATCAAATGACTGGCTCTTCAGCTGGATATAGTGCATGTTTTAAAACATAACTAAGTATTGTGGTGATAGCCTAGTAATCATTGGTGTGCACGGGGATTTTTCTTTTTTTTTTTTTTTTCTTTTTTGAGATAAGGTCTTGCTCTGTCACCCATAGTAGAGTGCAGTTGCGTGATCAACTTACTGCAGGCTTGACCTCCTGGGCTCAAGTGATTCTCCCTCCTCTGCCTCCCAAGTAGCTGGGAACACAGGCTACTGATTTCTAATGATTTCTCTGATTTCTAGTAAGATTGAGTATCTTACGTATTTCTTTGGGGGCAGGGGGCAATATTTCCCCATCTGAAATAGAGTTTTATCTTTTTGCTGTGATTCTGAAGTTCACTATGACATGTCTGGATGGATCTTTTTTCCATTTATCTCATTAGATACTCAGTGGATCCCATTCATTCTTTGGGATTTTTTTTTTTTTTTTTTTTAGATCGAGTCTCACTCTGTCGCCCAGGCTGGAGTGCAGTGACACGATCTTGGCTCACTGCAACTTCCACTGCTTGGGTTCAAGCAATTCTCCTGCCTCAGCCTGTGGAGTAGCTGGATTACAGGTGTGCGCCACTATGCCTGGCTAATTTCTTTTGCATTTTTAGTAGAGAAGGGGTTTTGCCATGCTGGCCAGGCTGGTCTTGGCTCAGGTGTTCTGCCCGCCTTGGCCTCCCAAAGTGCTGGGATTACAACAGGCGTGAGACACTGTGCCCAGCCATCTTTGGGAATTGTTTTTATCTGTTAAGTATTTCATCCCTTCTATTTCTTTTATTCTTTTCCTTTGGGAACTATTATGTTTTAAAATTTTGGGTCTCTATAACTTTTAAAAACTTATTTTACTTTTTACATACTTATATATAGCTTTATGAGGAACTTCCTTGGCTTAATCTTCTCAGGTTTGTTCTTAAAGTTGTGTTCATTCTGCTGTTCAGCCAGCCAGCTACTGAGTTTCTTTAGACCATAATCACTTTCTCTTCTTTAATTTCTTTTTGGTTCTTTTTCATGATAACTTGTTCTTTCTTGATGTATATAACTTCCCATTTTAACCTCTGTAGAGACAATAGATCTGTTTTTGTTAGAGTCCTTTCTTTTAGGCCCTTTAATTGTTTCATTAACTGTTTTCTTGGTTCTGTCTTTTCTTGTCTGGATTTGGTAATGTTTGACGATGTTTGATGAGACAAGGAAGTACATGAAACAGTTCAGAAAGACTGCCAGCAAAAATAATGCAAGTGCCCAAATGGAAATATATTTTACTGCTTTACTTCCCGAGAGTGTTGGATAAATTAGGTCTTCCTGTAGATACAGCTGAACCATGTGATTATGCTGGATGCAAATGTAGTATATTCTTCACATTAATCATTTTTTTGTTCATTTGCTAAGCAGTTATTATTTAGTGCTTGTTATGTGGTAGGCATTGTATTACACATGGTGCTAGATGCTATTAACTGCTTATAGTAAAATTCGTTGGTATAATTGTGAGAAAAAAGCAATAAGAATATAGTTAATATTTTTTTTTAAATAGTGATGGGCTGATTATCCTTTAAGAAATTGATTTTTTCAACATGTTATGACTGCGATACGTTAAATAGCCATTTGTTTGGACTGCTCTAATTTGGACTTTGACAGTCAGCTTATATTCAAATTGAATTGGATATCCTTGTACTTTGAAATTACATGTAATTAGGATTCTTGTTGACTAGATATATAGAAACATCTTTACACTGCATTATTAGTATTTGCTGGCAGAGATATGAGCTAATCACCAATTATTTCTCCTTTTTCCTTAAAAGAAATCTTTGTGGCTCACACCTTAGTAATATTTTTTCTTTTTTTTTTATTCACATTTTTATTAGGAGCCAGGAGAGGGCCCACCTTGGTCAGTGGAGATGCTCACAGGTTCTTCAGCCACTCCAGGCTGGGCCCCTGGGGGTCCTAGGGGTGGCGGGTATGTCAAGCATGTTCCCATCATTGCGGACAGGCACTGGGTAGTTGTAGGGCGTGGCCTGGTTGATCATGACAGAGTACTTGAAGTAGGGGATGAGTGGGGTCGGAATTATAGCGAGGGTCCCGATGAAGAAGGACACGACCAGTACTGGCTCCTTGGCCCAAGCATTCGTGAGGAAGGCGCCGAGTCTCGCGGCCATCTTGGTCTCGATGGCGGTGACAGCCAGTAATGTTTTTTCATAGGTAGGTTCCTTTCTTCATTTTCCAAAGGAGAATTTTACTTTGAACTTTTTCTTTTTTTGGAAAACATTCAACTAACCAAGCATTTTTGGGTCTGTTGGAATTTACCGTTTCGTTGATTGTTGGAATAGCCTCTTAGAGACATGCAGTAATGTCTGACTTCCTGTCCGTCACAGATCCCAGATTACAGAAATGCAGTAATCGTGGCCAAGTCTCCAGCCTCTGCGAAGAGGTAGGTGGGAATCTCACAACCTCTTTTTGGATCTACTTCTAAGTATTGTGTCCCTGATGAGTTCCAGGCATTCTAAATTGAACTTCAGTGGTTCCCAGTGATACGTCTCATTTTTCTTCCATGGATGGGTATTTTAAGATCATTTTATCAACTCCATTTATTAAGTAAATATTTTAGTTTCCTCTCTTTTTTTCTAATCCTAATCTATGATTGCCAGACATATTTTTAAAGTTATCTTCTACTTACATTTTCTTTTCTTTGTATTTTATTATTTTTTAAAATTTTATTTATTTATTTTTGAGACGGAGTTTCGCTCCTGTTGCCCAGGCTATAGTGCAGTGGCGGAGTGTTGGCTCACTGCAACCTCCATGTCCTGAGTTCAAGTGATTGTCCTGCCTCAGCCTGCCAAGCAGCTGGGATTACCGGTGTGCACCACCACATCCTAATTATTGTATTTTTAGTAGAGACGGGGTTTCACCTTGTTGGTCAGGCTAGTTTCGAACTGCTGACCTCAGGTGATCCACCCACCTTGGCCTCCCAAAGTGCTGGGATGACAGGTGTGAGCCATACGCCTGGCCTTATTTTTATTTTTAATAGTAGAAACAGAGTTTTGCCATGTTGTTTAGGCCAGTCTTGAACTACTGAGGCTCAAGTGATCCACCTACCCAGCTTAGCCTCCCAAAGTGCTGGGATTACAGGCATGAGCCACCATACCTGACCTCAATCATATTTCTTGACCAAAGCCATCCAGGTTTGGGGAATACGTTCTAGTGTTTACCCCAGACCCAGATTGACAATCACTTGTCAATCTTCAAGTCTAGTGTTTACAGTATTGGTGAATATTTACAGTATTGGTGAATATTTACAGTACTGGTGAATATTTACAGTACTGGCAAACAACTTTGTAGGTGTTTAGTGCTTCTTATTTGAGGAACTCAGAAATTGATTAACAGAATTTTATTCAGCTGACAACCCAGTTATTTGTATGTGTTAACGGTGACACTTTATGAAACTGGCACAACCTGAGGCGTATAAAAGGGGCAGCCTTGAGAGTTAATAGAGTGACTTACATGTAACCTAGAGGAACCGATGTGTCACTAATACATACTTAAAATTGTATGTTGGTTGAGAGGATTTCATATACCAGTGTTTTGTGGAGAAACTACCCCATGGTAGAGGGAAAGAATGAAATCACTTGTAGGAATAAAGCCTTTTTCCTAAAAAGCCCTTTTAAAATTGTTTTCCAGTTAAATACCTTTGCTCACTGGATTGTTGTTGAGTCCTGTGTAATGAAAGAAAGCGTAGGAAACCTCCACTCTAGGCCCATGGGCTGGCAGTATTGAAGGAGGGAGGAGAACTTGCACACAGTAAGCCATTGATTTAAAAAGCATTTCACATAGGTCATTGGACATTATAAATTAAGAATAACACTTTAATATGTGGACTTAGTATATTAAATAAAATAAATTGGCATTTGAAATAAAACCATTACATGGCTGTGTTCTTGTGGCTGACTTTCTCAACTCAGCCAGGCCTGTGTTCACCCAAGTAGCTGTATCCTTCAAGTAGCCGTATCATCTGGTCTCCTCTTGTCCATTTGATTAAATTGTAAGAAACAGACTGAATTTTAGAATGTAAACTTTTCAAATAGCTTTTCCATTTATTCAAAGGCTGAATTAATTTTATTTAGTAATTTTTCTCTTGATATACATGCTTTAAAAAAATTAAAAGTGAAAAATCACACATGTACAAACAATCATTTTAAAGTATGGAATTCACTGACATTTAGTGCATTCATGGTGTTGTGTAACCACCACCTGTCTCTCTTTTCAGAACATTTTCATCATCCAAAAAGAACACCTTGTACCCATTCAGCAATCATTCCCTATCCCTTCACCCTCTGTCCCTTGGGAGCCACTAATCTGATTTCTGTTTTTGTTCATTTACCTATTCTGGACATTTCATGTAAATGGAATCACATCGTTTGTGCTCCTTTGTATCTGGTTTCTTTCACTTAGCATGTTTTCAAGATTTATCTATGGCGTAGCATGCAGTATCTCAGTCCTTTTGATTGCTGAGTAATATTGCATTGTATGTGTATACTGCGTTTATCCATTCATCTGTTGATGGACACTTATGTTGTTTTTACCTTTTGGCTATTATGAATAGTACTCCTGTGATTATTCATGTATTAGTTTCTGTGTAGACGTAAGTTTTCGTTTCTTGTGGTTATCTATTAGGATTGGAATTGCTGGGTCATATAGCAATTTTGTTTATGTTTTGAGGAACTGCCAAGCACTTTTCCACTGCAGCTGCCCATTTTACATTCCCACCAGCAGTGTATGAGGGTTCCAGTTTCTCCACATCCTCACCAACACTTATCCTCTGATTTTTTTCATTATAGTCATTCTAGTGGGTGTGAAATGATACCTTATTGTGGTTTTGATTTGTATTTCCCTAATGATTAATGACATTGATGTTGAGTATCTATTCTTTTTTTTTTTTTTTTAATGAGATAAGGTCTTGCTATGTTGTCCAGGCTGGGCTTAAACTCCTGGGCTGAATCAATCCTTCTGCCTTAGTCTGCTGATCATATTTTTATATGCCTTTTGGCCATTTGTGTATCTTTGGAAAAATGCCTATTCACACCTTTTGCCCATTTAATAATTGGATTGTCTTTTTGTTGAGTTGTAAGCACTCTTTATGTATTCTACATACTAAACCCTTGTTAGATACATGATTTACAGATACTTTATATCTTCAGATTGTCTTTTCACTTATAATGTTCTTTGACACAAAATGGTTTTAATATTGATAAGGTTCAATTTATCTTTTTTGTTTGTTACTGCCTCTGCTTCTGATGTTACGCCTAAGAATCCATTGGCCAGGTGCAGTGGCTCATTCCTGTAATCTCAGCACTTTGGGAGGCTGAGACAAGAGGATCACTTGACCCCAGAAGTTTGAGAACAGCCAGAGCAATATAATGGACCTTGTTTCTAAAAAAAAAAAAAATTATTTGGGTGTGGTGGCATGTGTCTGTGGTTCTGGCTACTTGGGAGGCTGAGGTGGGAGGATTGTTTAAGCCCAAGAGGTCAAGGCTGCAGTGAGCTGTGATTGCACCACTGCATACCAGTCTGGTTGGCAGAGCCAGATCCTATCTCAAAAAAAAAAGAATCCATTGCCAAATCCGAGGTCATGAAGTTTACCTCTATATTTTCTCCTAATGCTCTTATATTTAGGTTTTTGATCTTTTTTTTTTTGTTTTCTTCTGAGATGGAGTCTTTCTCTGTTGCCCAGGCTGCAGTGCAGTGGCACGATCTTGGCTCACTGCAACCTCTGACTCCAGGCTCAAGCAATTCTCTTGCCTCAGCCTCTCGAGTAGCTGGTATTAGAGACAGGTTTCACCATGTTGGTCAGGCTGGTCTCAAACTCCTGACCTCAAGTGATCCACCTGCCTTGGCCTCCCAAAGTGCTGAGATTATGGGCACGAGCCACTGCACTAGGCTGGTCTTTAATCATTTTGAGTTAATATGTGTATATGGAGTAAGATGGGCCTCCAGCTTCATTCTAAGCATGTGGAGATGCAGTTATTTCAGCACCATTTGTTGAAAGACTATCTTTTCTCCATTATATTGCCTTTGCTCTTTCATCAAAGATCAGTTAACAATATTTATGTAGGTCTATTTCTGGGCTGTCTGTTTTGTTCCATTTATATATTTGTCTTTTCTTTCACCAATCCCACACTGTCTTGATTACTACAGCTTTTTTTTTTAGGCTTAAGTCTCACGCTGTGTCACCTAGGCCAGAGTGCAGCGGCTTGATCTCAGCTCAGTGCAGCCTCTGCCTCCTAGGTTTGAGTGATTCTTGTGCCTCAGCCTCCCGAGTAGCTGGGCTTACAGGTGTGCACCACCACACCTGGCGAAATTTTGTGTTTTTAGTAGAGATGGGGTTTTGCCATGTTGGCCAGGCTGGTCTCGAACGCCTGACTTCAAGTTATCCTGACCTCAAGTTATCCTCCCAAAGTATTAGGATTACAGGCATCAGCCACTGTACCCAGTCACTACAGGTTTTTATTATTTTTTTTTGAGATGGAATTTTGCTCTTGTTGCCCAGACTGCATGATCTTGGCTCACTGCAACCTCTGCCTGCCAGGTTCAAGCAACTCTCCTGCCTCAGCCTCACAGGTAGCTGGGATTACAGCCATGCCCACTACGCCTCGCTAATTTTGTTAGTAGAGATGGGGTTTCACTATGTTGGTCAGGCTGGTCTCAAACTCCTGACCTCAAGTGATCCACCTATCTCAGCCTCCCAGAGTGCTGGGATTGCAGGCATGAGCCACCATGCCTGGCCCTCTATAGCTTTTTTTTTCTTGAGACGGAGTCTCGCTCTGTTGCCCAGTACCCAAGCTGGAGTGCAGTGGCGCAGTGTCGGCTCACTGCAAACTCCCCCTCCTAGGTTCAAGCAGTTCTCTGCCTCAGCCTCCCGAGTAGCTGGGATTACAGGCACCTACCACCACACCCAGCTAATTTTTTTTTTTTTTTTTTTTTTTTTTTTTGAGACAGAGTCTTGCTCTGTCGCCAGGCACCAGGCTGGAGTGCAGTGGCGTGATCTTGGCTCACTGCAACCTCCACCTCCCAGGTTCAAGCAGTTCTCCTGCCTCAGCCTCCCAAGTAGCTGGGACTACAGGCACGCACCACCACACCCAGCTAATTTTTGTATTTTCTAGTAGAGACGATGTTTCACCATGTTGGCCAGGATGGTCTCAATCTCTTGACCTCATGATCTGCCTGCCACGGCCTCCCAAAGTGCTGGGATTACAGGTGTGAGCTACTGCGCCTGGCCCAATTTTTGTATTTTTAGTAGAGACAGGGTTTCACCATCTTGGCCAGGCTGGTCTTGTACTTCTAACTTCGTGATTCACCTGCCTCAGCATCCCAAAGTGCTGGGATTACAGGCATGAGCCACTCCACTGAGCCTTAATAGTCTTAAAGTTGGGTATT